TCCTCTTCTCTCTCTCCTCCTCTCTCCTCCTCTCATCTCTTCTCTCTCAATCCTCTCTCTCCTCTCCTCTGCTCGGTCTCTCTCTCCTCTCTCTCTCTCTCTTCTCCTCTCTTCGTTCCTCTCTTCTCTCTCTACAGATTCTCTCTCGCGCTCTCTCGTTCTCTCTCCTCTCTCTCTCCTCCTCCTCTCTCTCTCTCTCTCCTCTCTCTCGCCACGTTCTCCTCATCCTCTCTCCTCTCTCCTTCCTCTCCTCTCTCCTTTCTTTCCTTCTCCACTTTCTCCTCTCTCATTTATACCTCTCTCTCCCCCTCTCATCTCTCTATTCCTTCTCTCTCTCTACTCTCTCTCTCTCTCTTTTCCTCTCTCTACTCTCCTCTCTCTCTTCTCTCCCTTTCGTCTTCTCATTCTTCTTCTCTTTCTCTTCTCTTCTCGGGTCTCTCTCTTCTCTTCTCTTCTTGCCTCTTCTTCGTTCTCTTCTCTTCCTCTTCTGGCTTCTCTTCCTTCTCTTTCTCTTCTCTTCTCTTTTCTTCTCTTCTCTTCTCTGTGGTCTCTCTCTCTTCTCTCTCTCTCTCTCTCTCTCTCTCTTTCTCTCTTTCTCTCTCTCTTCTCTTACTCTTCTCTTCTCTCCTTTCTCTTCGTCTCTTCTTCCTCTGTCTCTCTTCTCTCTTCTCTCTTCTCTCTTCCTCTTCTTCTCTCTCTCTCCTTCTCTCCTCTCTCTCTCTCTCTCTCTCTCTCCTACTCTCTCTCTCTCTCTTCTCTCTCTCTCGTCTCTCATACTCTCTCTCTCTCTCTCATCTCTCTCGCCGCTGTCTATCTATTCTATCTCCAGTCTAATCTCTGTCTATCATCTATCCAGCTTTTCTTTTGATTTTATGCGCGAGTGCCTCTCTCTCTCTCCCTCTCTCTCTGTCTACCCTATCTATTCTAATTTCTATCTATCTATCTCTGTAATCTTCATCTTTCTGATTTTATGTGCTAGTGGGGCCCGCCCCCCCCCTTTCTCTCTTTCTCTTTCATCTCTCTCCTCTCTCTCTCTCTCTCTCTCTCTCTCTCTTCTCCTCCTCTACTATCTCTCTCTCTCTCTTCTCTCTCTCTCTCTCGGTCTCTTTCTTCTCTGCGTCTTCTCTGCGTCCCTAACGTTGATGATGGATGATGCTCTGAACCTGCAGGCAACCCCCCCCCACCTGGGTCTTATGAACGGGACTTCGTGAATGTGGGGTCCCCAGTGGTAATTCACGTCCATATCAAACAGCGCTTCATAATGTGCGGAGCGGTGTTGTCGCGCAGTCCTGTCGGATCTTCTATTCAGACGGAGCCGTCGGTTCTTTAAAAAGTTTCTTTGGAGTACGGAACTATGGTGTCTCTGCCTGACCCAGTATGTGTAGTTGTGTGTGATGTCATACCGTGCTGTGTGTGTGTTGTGTGTGTGTGACTGCCACCTACCACAGGCACGCCTGCGCTGTGCCTGATCGTGAGGACGCTCCACCTCTGGGTGTGTGATTTGGTGTGTGTGTCGATGTCGATGTGGTGTGTGTGTGCCGTGACCAGTCGGCGCGTGTGTGTGTGGTGTGTGTGTGTGCTCGTGTGTTGTTGTATGTGTGTGTGTGTAGTGTGGTGTGTGTGGGTCGATGAGTCCACTGCTTGCATAGCAGTGCATCTGCCCTGCTCACGACCTTCCCAGAAGAGCCTGTGTCAACAAAGCCCACGATCTCCTCTCCCCTGATACCGTGCGTGCGTGCGTGCGTACAGATGTGTGGTGCAGGTTGCGTTGCCGTTGCTGTGATGTCTTGTTGTGTTCGTGTGTGTGAAGATGTGCCTGTCCTTTCATCCAGGGGTGTTCATCTGCCCAGTCCTCTTGGCTCATTAAGCAAGGTTTCACTTCACTCAGGCCCCATTCAAATCCCTTGAGAAATTTGGACTCTCCTGGGACTTACGTACATGAGTCACGTCAGTACTTTAAGTTTTGATAATTCAGTGATCACCAGGCCAGCTGTAAGCCTGAACCTAATTACAGTGCTTATAGGAAGGCACACAAGAAGACGCAGAGGACACGACTGCCCAAAATTGTCCCAGCCGTGCCAGATTCGTCATACTTTGAGCCTGGCCTGGTCTGTTAGGAAGGATGCGGCTCTCTTATGCCAGGAGTTGTTGGAAAATTAAAGTTTTTTATTCCTGCTCCACAAGGCACCATTATTTGGTGACAGAATATAAGGGAAAGCTCGTGCCCCTACCAGCCAGAACTAAAGTAGTGCGTGTTTATAATTTAATCAAATTTCATTTTTAAATAATTAATTCATTAAAGTGATTTTCCAAATGAATATAGTTACTATAATCATGGCAAGTACCCTACAATATGACAGTCTTTACAATATGAATCTTTAAGTTGCTTTCTATGTTGGGCTGTTTGTTTGTTTTATTAGCTGTCTTTTGTTTAATGTTCATAATTTAAGTGAACTAGACTAGGTATATAAAATAGTTCATCCTTACATTAAAGAATCAAAGAAAATGAAAACGATTATATTCATAGAAAAAAAGTCATCCTTACAGGGGATACTTTTATTTTACGTGAAGATTTCCCTAGCCTGAAACGATTTTTGCGCAACATTCGCCATTTATAAAGACTGATACTCCTTTCTTCTTTTCTTTTTTTGCAGCTAGTGGGCGTTATCAGACCGCGCGATCACCTGAGTTTAACTCTTAATCTAAATCCAAAAAACCCACTAAAATGTATAGGATTACAGTATATATCTCGTATTTCATTTCATAAAAAAAAAACAGATGGTGATGTAGCTGATATTCTTCGGTCCTGTACTCACAATAGTTCAGACACAGGACCTTTGGCCACTATTCCTTAAAATTCTACGNACACGACTGCAAAATGTCCCAGCCGTGCCAGATTCGTTATACTTTGAGCCTGGCCTGTTCTGTTAGGAAGGATGCGGCTCTCTTATGTCAGGAGTTGTTGGAAAATTAAAGTTTTTATTCCTGCTCCACAAGGCACCATTATTTGGTGACAGAATATGAGGGAAAGCTCGTGCCCTACCAGCTAGAACTAAAGCAGTGCGTGTTTATAATTTAATCAAATTTCATTTTTAAAAAGTAATTAATTAAAAGTGATTTTCCAAATGAATATAGTTACTATAATCATGGCAGTACTCACAATATGAATCTTTAAGTTGCTTTCTATGCTGGGCTGTTTGTTTGTTTTATTAGCTGTCTCTTGTTTAATGTTCACAATTTAAGTGAACTAGATTAGGTATATAAAATAGTTTATCCTTATATTAAAAGAATCAAAGAAAATGAAAACGATTTATATTCATAGAAAAAAGTCATCCTTACAGGGGATACTTTTATTTTACGTGAGATTTCCCTAGCCTGAAACGAATTTTTGCGCAACATTCGCCATTTATAAAGACTGATAACTCCTTTCTTCTTTCTTTTTTTGCAGCTAGTGGGTTATCAGACCGGCTGATCACCTGAGTTTAACTCTTATCTAATCCAAAAAACACTGTATATAGATTACAGTATATATCTCATATTTCATTTCATAAAAAAAAAAAGATTGATGTAGCGATATTCGGTCCTGTATCAATGTTTCAGACACAGACTTTGGCACTTTCCTTTATTCATCTTCCATGTCTATCCATCAGCCCTCCCAAAAGTACTCTCTGGGCTTCCCAATGGTATCCCTTCAGTACTTCCATTAATGCCAGTCTGCCATTTTCTCTTTTTAGTGATGACTATTTGAACTTTCCAATAGACCTCCTTTGACCCTTCCAAATGCATACCTTCCCCCCTTCCCAAGGCAATCATTCCATCCTTTAGGTGTTGCTTGGGACACAAGAGATGAAGCTAGTTGACTGGCTGTTGTAAAAGAAAACACAGTATACCAGTAGGCCCTTTCTCATTATCTGCATATTTTCCAATCCGATGGCAATAATTGAAAGTGCCCATACATTCCTTGGTGCCATAAGCATATGTCTGTATTTCTTAATAGTTAACCTGCCTCGGGATACATTCATTGCATTTCATCAGCAGAGAGGTCTGTGTGTTCTGAGTGCCTGCTTAGTTTTCATTTCCAAAACAACCCTTGTTATGAAAAGTCAGTTATCAAAAATAATACTTCAGTAAACAAATATTATCTCATAATTCTATCTCTTGTACAATCTATAACTTTTATGATAATTACATTCCCCATAAAATACTATATATATTTGCAATATTTGGATAATCATTACCTATATACTTTCATGGCACTTCTTTGCTTTCTTTGTCTTTTGGCTTTTGCCTTTGATACCATCATTAGAATAGCTTAATAAAATGGCTCTCCATGTGCAGGTTAAATGATACCATAGGTAAAATAATGTCCAATGTATAAATTAAAAATTTTCTTAATACTCTCCTCCTATTATACTGCAGTATAATTCAGCAAATGGGTTAATAAAATGTTCATTCTTCTCACAATACTTTTTTCTCATATATAACAAACGTTATGTTTAGTGTTTTCTTTATATAAACTTAGCTGCTGCATAATAAACATTTGTCAGAAATGTATGGAATAAAGTCAAAGAAAAAAATCTAGAAATATGTATTATTTTGCATATGTACAGTAATAACAGTTAATTACCAATTCATTAATTCCTTCAATTAATTAATTCCTTCAAAGTTGCATCATTGAGTACAATTTCTGTGTGTAAATCAATTACGTATCTGCCACTGTTCTGCATTTCTTTGGTGATGCAATTCATACATTACCTCCAGTATCTACACATCTGCTCTGATATAATTAAACCATATTAACTCTGTACATTAATTATATAAAAATTATCTATCAGATTTCCTCTCTGTTGGGGTTCCGATAGTTTCAGTTATCATAATTAAACCCACATGATTTGACAGCAAGACGGAAAACATGACTTCTTTGATTTGCATGTTACAAGTTAAAAATTAATCATGTTACCTTGTGTTCATCTGAGCAAGAAGGAAAAGAAAAGATTGACTCGGATCTTTTACATATATTTTGGCACCCAAGTACATGGTATTTTATGGATAGAAAAAATATTCATGGAAATAAATCATGATGATACAACTGAAACTTTTTAAATGTGTTTGATGTTTCTAAAGATCCAAAAACTGTGCAACCAAAAATATTTCAATAATGCCTGTGCTACACCTAGCACTATCTACATTTCTGAATATTTTACACAAAAGATACAATTTCAACAGCCATGAAATCATAATAATATCTGTTAACCTTACTATATAAAGCCTTGTGACACTACTACTGAAAAAAAGTTTAATCAAATGCAAGTGCTATGGAACACAATGACAAAATGTTACCAATGGATAAGTATAATTTCTTTGAAGCACTTTCTTTATCATTGTCAACATTAGAATCATCCTAGATTTATCATAAAGATTTACACAATGCCATACCTTATCATTATTACCTTGTTTTTTGTAATATAATTATCATTTACCTAACCATTACAATTTCTTAAACATGTTCCTTGAAATATAACAAAATAAATTATAAAGTCTCCCTGATCGAACACGCCTTACGACCTGCTTTGGTGCCCACTCTGCCTAATTCAATGATCCCACCAACGAGAAACTTAGCCTACCAATATACAAAAAGCTGCCGAGTGCTACATACAGTACAGTTCTTACGAAATCCATCATAATGTACAATGAAACATGATATGCAAGAATGAAATATCAAAAGGTGTTCAGGCTGCTTTTTCCCCCTTCAGAAGAAGAGAAAAGATGAATTGAAAATGGTTTCTCCTCTCTCCTTTTCTAAAGGACATGGAGGGAAAGAGCGCACCAAAAGTGGAACACAGAAAAGAGTTCACAAGCACGCAGTAGTAAGAGCATGTAACTTGGCTACATATGTGATGTGCAGTAGCCAGGGGGGGGCTTTGGGGGAGGCTACAGCACAGACCCGGAGCCAAAAACATAATCAATGAAGGAAAACTTTACTTATACCCTAACGAACAATATGACGAGGAGAGACTTGAAAGGAAAAATATAAATTTGGAATGATATCATGGGAAGAACAAGTTACCAATCAGTCTTTTATAAAAAAAAGTTCCTGGTAACTTAACTGCTTCGTCTTTGTACCATCTTTGCCTCTCTTATCATACTTTCTTTCTGATAAATAAAGTTTTTTTGTTTTTTTTTTTAGCTTTTTATCATTTCCTTTTCTATGTATACCATTGGAATAGTAAGTCTTATAATTAAACAAACATGAATTATTGCAAAAACTGCCACATTCTCTTTGGATTATACCTGACTGTGCAGTTCATTCTACACACACAGAAATATAACGTATAGATATATATACTCATATATGTATACGCACAGTATGTAGGTATATATAACAAATACCTTCTCATTTTCTATTTACCCTTGTGGACATCCTAACATAAAATATCCAAGAATGGACGACTATACATATTTAGTTTGTCTTCTACCAAGAGCATGGTAGTTTCTTTCTTGTTTTTCTTGGTCCTCGTAAGTTCTAAAAATCTTTTATTGGTTCCTTTCAACATTCACGTAGCAATGATATAACACAATAAGTGACAAACTATGAATGTCCTTTTATACAATGATCAATTAGGAACAGTAACGCAAAGCCTAAAAAGCTAATAAATAAAAATGGCAATAATTCAAGTGGCAATGATCATAAAAAAGATATATATATACTTTACATAAGCAACAATGAAAATACTGATAAAATATAATAAACATGAATATGTAATAATCACACAACTTATATTAGTACCTATAACAACAAGAATACTATTGTGCTGTCCCTGTATAAATGGTGTTGGGCCAGCACATCAGTTTTAGAAAATATATATAAAAATAGATACAATTAAAAAATAATAGAATAAAAAAAAAATTATAAACAACTCAATCCACAACTTTAGATATGAATTATCATCTCTACATAATAATGTACTAACTAATGGTCTCAATAAGAGAGTATTTGAACAAGACCACAAAATGGCTTGTTCTTTGTTTTTTTACTATCTTAGTACATCAAAAAGAGAGCGAAAAAAAGGCTTTAATATTTTTTCTTTCTTTCCTCTTTTTAGAGTGAACATCACTATGTTTTTTTTGTTTGTTTTTTTAATAACAATAATGTGGAGGTAATTTTGGGTGATTATAAAATCAGAAACTAATAATGCCTTCCTACTCTAGACTGGCAAGCATTCCACCGCTCATGAGGTGCAAACTGTCGCACAACAGGAGTTGATGTGGGAGAATCTGCGGAATATGGTCATTTTCACTTTTTCTTTTTTTCTATTATCTTAAGCCCTTGTGGTTCCTTGAATCTTTCTTCACATCTGACAAATATATATAGAACATTCAAAATGCCAAAGAAGATGAAATTGAACTCCAATTATTTTACACTTTTTGCCAAGAATTTTGCTCTAACACACAAATCCTCTATTTAAACTACCATCAGTGAGAGTGAAAATCACAGATTCC